AAGCTTGAAAATTAATGGCAACTTTTAAGGCATTTTTGTGGCAACTTTAGGAAAAAAAAATGGCAACAAACGCAGATGCTAGACAAATTGGCACAGTGTGGCTTGTAAGGTTTGCTAATTCTGCTATGAAAGGTCGTAGTCAGTCGGCATTCCATTGCAGGACTGCAATTATGAAGGCTTTTAAAAAAATTTTGGAGCACATACGCCCCAGCTTCGAAGAAGCATTCAGACTCCCCGGGGGAGGCAGAGGGTTTTCTAGACTGCTGTCCTGAATTGAGCGGCTGTCTAGCCGGGGATTGGGGGAGGAGTGTCGGGCTCCGCCCTTCCCGGGGACAGATCGGGGAGGGGGATCGAAGCTGTCATCGTCCATTGGTAGGGGGAGGGGGAAGAGACACCTCACACTCCATCAGAGGGGTGGGGCGTGAGGAGGAAGAAAAAGAAGGGATAGAGGAGGGGAAGGGGAAGGAAGAGGGGCAGAGGAAAAGTCCACCCCGTCCACCCCAAAAACCACAAAGCGGTTCGAGTTAGACAGTGGCACCTCAAAGGTGGGTGCCACGAAGGTCGTAGGGACCTTTTCCTTTGTGCACAAACTTGCCTGCTGACCACGACTGGCTGGGCTGCCTTCGCATATGACCGGCCAGGGACTGGAGTTGCGACTGGCCGGCAGACTCAGACAGCTTTGCGGGCTTCTTGAAAAGATCAGGTGTTTCGTGCTTTGTACTCTTGGATTGCACGTTCTTGGATCCAAGTCAGGCAATCATAACCGAAGGCTGTGTGCTGGCCGTGGCAATTTGGGCAGCAAGGACTAGCCTTAGATTCCTTTTCAGGATGCCCAGTCTTGCCACAGCGAGGACACATGTCTGCGCGTCAGCATTTCGACTGGTTATGGCCAAACTTCTGAAACTGGAAGCAGCGCAGAGGGTTTGGCATATGAGGTCGCAAGTCCAGGACCAAGTTTGATGCCCGAACAGTGGCTGGAAGGCAGCAAGAATTAAAAGATAAGGAAAAAAAGATTTCGTTTCAAGGGTGGTCTCGCCGCGCTGAAGAGTAATTCGACGGGCTCCGACCACATCCTCACAATTAGCCACAATTTCTTCATTTGAGCAGCCCTTCAGCTCATGGCTGCGGACCACGCCCTTCGACTGGTTGAACTTTTCGTGCCGTTCAGATACACAAGGAATAACACCGAAAGCCGTGATCTTTTTAATCCAGCCAGTTCTTTTTCTGATGCGCACTTGACGAGGGGTACACCCGAGGACAGCTTCTGGACATTCGTAAGAATGTATCCCAGAACCTGTCATAGAGCATCACCAGTCTAAAAAAGGTTTAGATCTGTGATCCTCTGCACATCGGTGCTGCGGATGGTCAAGTACTGCTGCTGCGGAAGCTCCCTGGGAGGAGGGAGGGCAGATGCAGCCGTAAAGGTCCTTTTTCCAGTAGATTTGCTCTGCTCGGCAGCCGCACCCGCTTCCATGAGCCGAGTCTTTTTATTGACATTGGGAGATGAACAAGGGTCATTTTGAGTTCCGTGAGTGTTTTGGTGTTGATTCGACTCCAGGGCTCCTCGTAGGCCACCTAGCCCAAAAAGGCAACACATTGCTCGGACAACCAGAGCTGTGCCAGGGCTACCCCAGAGTTATACTCTCCACGATATTGTACAAGACCATCCCGTCAAGATTGACCCAGGGATTGAACGGGCTTCAGCTCCCAACCGATTGAGTGGCATCATGCCACCCTCCCGTCTAAGAGGAAAACCTGAGCCAAAGAGGTGTGTTGGTAAGGGAAAGTCTGCAGACTGATCTTACCTCAACCGCCAGGTACCCGGTTTCCCTCCGCACGGGTCACACCTAACGGTCAACCTGGCGCCCACTCTGTGGGACGGATGACCTCTAGTTTTCCTGCACATGAAGCCAGCGGTGGAAGGAGATATAGAAGAAAAAAGGAAGAAGGAAGGAGAAGAGGAAGATACACCAAAGTAGAAGTCACACATGGATCCCACAGGGTTGGGGTCCATTTGCGAAGCTTCGTCATTTGCGGGGGCAGTGGGACTATTTATACTCCCCCAACCCACAGGGGACAAAAGCTGCTATTTTTTTCAGTAATGTTCCCATAGTCTGTTCGTCATGAATTTCCCCTCAACTTCTGTGGATTAGTCCTCTCCAGCTCAAACTCAAACATACAGCTGCCTAGTTTTTCCAAAGCATCAAATAACTGACATTATTGCATCAATATGCTCTCTTTACCTCAAACAAACCATTAGTAGTAGTAGTAGTTTAGGGTTTTACGGCGCTCGCAACTGCTAAGGTCATATGAGCGCGCAGCAAACCATTATTTCCTTTGCTTTTTCATAATACTAAAGAACAATCAATAATTTATAATCATTATTGTTTGTGGGCACATCTCTATTCTAACAATCTGTCAACATTTTAAAAAAAAATCAGAACTTCATGTGGTAAATATTTATTTACCCAAATGACAAAATGGTGGAAAGTTGGTGAAAAATCGTGTAACAATGGGATGACAATGGGCAATGATACATTCAGTCTGACGATGTTCACTCTATCAGGCATATAATGAACCAGTAACAAGCAGTGACTTAAGCCATTTGGACTCTCATAAACACACACACACATATTCACACACACACACACACACACACACAATCGACAGACAAACAGACTTACAAACAATGACCCCAGGGATCACCCTAAGTCTGTTCAAGATATCATGACCGCAGTAACAATGGTTCATGATCCAGTAAACATTAAATAGTACACAGCGTACACCAAGTCCAAGCTTAGAACTAGCAGAAATAGTATTTCAAAACACATTCAACAATGAATTAATCTGAGATAGGTAGTTCCAAAGTAAACTCTTTCAAATTCAAGATGTCTCCATGAAATGTTTAGTCAATTCACTATGCTACATTCTACTTTATTTCAGTTTAGACGTGAGAAATGTTAATAAATAGACACACAATAAAAAAAATGTTGCAAAATGGTATGGTGAGTGTTACCAATAGAATTAATTATTTAACTGCAAACAGCTCTTAGAATGACGTCTAAGACTTACAAAATCGTTACGTAATCAAAAATAACCTTAAATTTCTACATTGCTCACACAATTGAGCTCATCAAAATGAAGTGCCAACTTCCACTTGGAGATATCCATTACAAAAAAAAAGACAGATTTTCTTATTCTTTCTAGATAATCTAGTCAAAGCGTTCACTTTGAACTGACAAAAGATTTTTTAAAAACAATTAAGCAATGACTCTGTGCAAGGTGTATCTCTTTCAGCATTATAAAGTGTTCCTACCTCAAATGAACAAACACACTTTCTTAGCCAAAAATGGGATTTATTGCGAAGGGCAGAAAAAAAAAGGGGCTGAAAGCACTGAAACTGCTTAGACATTACACAGTGGGCTCCACTTAAAATTAACGTGCAGGGACCAAGAAATGAGTGGTTTCTTTAAATTCATTTGCATTCCAACTCTTTTAACTTTAACATGGGTTGGGGAATTGGGGTTGAGGAGGGAACCATTTATCTATGAGAAGCATCAAGGTGAAATCAGGCGCTTGTCAAACTAATGAACTCAAGGAAAACAGCATTAATTTTCCTCTAGTTTGGCAATTTGTCG